GGGGGGGGGGGGGGGGGGGGGGGGGGGGGGGGGGGGGGGGGGTCCCGCCGTCGCTGGCCAGCAATTTGGTACCGTACTCCATGCTCGTCACTCTTTCTGCGTTGTGAAGCTCTCTTTGCATTGTCGTCCATGCTCGCCACTATTTGCCTGCTCCGTACCCATGCTTACCACTCAAGCATGATCTGTGCATCATCGGGAGGACACGCAAGCACCCTTGTCACGCCACGGTGGCGCATGTTTCCTCACAACGCCTGCTGTATGAACTACGAGCACGTCACGCGTCAAAAGAAAGTGGGTGGGGCGGCGGGAGGGGGGAGGGTCAGAGAAGAGGCGTGATTGAAGTAGGGATAAGTCAGTAGGATAAAATCCCGCCCGCGAGAAAAACTAAGCTTGAGCGATCTGCGAAAGGAATACGCCAGTGACTCCTTCCTGGATTGGTTTAAGGTTAGCACGATATCCTGTATGTTTGCGGCGCTTGCCACAAGAACGGTGATGACCTGATGGTTCTCGGGATTCCACGGACAGAACGTACACTTCCGCCCAACGCGAACTCACGGCTACTCATACAAGAGAGAAGCGACACATGTGCCCCAAAAGCTGTAAAAACCTTGAGCACACATAAAATGGAACGGGGTTGCTCACGTACAGCAGTCAACAGCTTCCGAAACGGCGAACAAAGTTGTTGGGTTCAATCTGCTCTCCGTTCCAAAACAGATCACATGAACGTGTCGTGTATCTCAAGTCCAAGTCGTGTGTCCGCAAACAACTGCCCGTTCACAATGCAGGAGAGAAGTATGCCTTCGTGGCGCAGGGTGTATGCAAGCGCCACACACCTCGAAAGCGTTGCCATCCAGGTCTCTACAAAAGAGCGCCGCCCTGCCGCTCTTGGACATGGTGTAGGTTACGCCGGCGATGTCCAACCGGCCCTTGAGCGGCTGCAGGTCCGCGATGCTGAAGGCCACGTGTCGGTCCCTGCCCCCGTGCTCTGGGCGGCCGTCGACGGGGTCTGGGTTGGGCAGCTCCATCAGATGGATCTGGTGTAGCCATCGCGGAGACGACAGTTAACATGATGCGTTTGGGAAGGAAGGGAGGCAATTAGCGATGTGTTGGAGGCAGACCGTTAAGCAAGCAGTCAGCTTCATGAGTCAAATGGACTCCTATCAGCTCGCACCAGAGCCTTTTGGGTAGTCCAGATACACCGTCGAACACAGGTGAACATAACATATTGTGTAGCTCCGTCACCATTCAGGATGATACAACATAAAAAAAAATGTAACCTTCACACACTTCAGCCGAGAAAAAATCAACGAGAATGACAGCAGGTACAATTACGAGAGGCTCGAAATACACATCCTTCAGAATTGCAGGCATCCGGGAAACTTCGCATGACAGGTGTGGAGATTACATCACCGCTGCACATACACTAGTTGGCAATATATTGAGTGGGGAATCTTGATGATCGTAGACCAAAATATTCGACTCTTCCAAAGCTACATACCTGTGGAGACCGGGATCGGAAAATCTTTCGACTATCCGGCCCTCTCTCTTCGATTGTAACTCTGTGTCCCTTCCGACACGTTGTACCATACCACGACTTGAGTCACCTCCTAACGAACGGTACGTAGCCTGTGTCATCAAAACCGTCTTTATCAAAGGACGTATGAGCAGGCGTAACACAAGGGCCACATCACAAGCAGTGTTTTGAGCAGCGCTTGTTGTATAATCAAAAGAAAAATCCAAGCACGTGTTGTAACAAACCTGGGTCGCGCCGGCTCGAACGAAGGCCCCATCGAACGGAAGCTGGGGTCGCAGGGCAGAGTCATCCTCAAACCCGAACACATTTACGTAGAAATCCTTACGAGTAAAAATAGCAGCGGCGCAAAGGCGCGACGGAAAATGGGGTGGATCACAGGGAAGTATGGGTCACGGTTCATTCAGAGGTGGACGCGGCCTCGAGCGGTGAGATGTACTTGGGCTGTTACTCTCCTACTAAATACCCATGTGCGGTTGTCAGCGCTTGTTTGTGGGCGACCAACAATGTGCACCGTGTGTCTACCCACTCAGCTTTTGCCGGGTATGCATGATCCATAATCTCTAATACGCGTCGTACCATGGGTGACATGAGACAGCATACCCCTTGCGCCACCTGTGTTGCGTGGTCTGCAGACGAAGCCATGGATTACAACTTGTGTTTGGTCTACAGAAGAAGCTACGGATTAGTCAGGGGGAGAGAGAGAGAGACAGACAGACAGACAGACAGACAGACAGACAGACAGACAGACAGACAGACAGACAGACAGTTCTTGTCGTCTATACGTCATACCTGCTAGCCGTTTGTTCCGATCTACTTCTAATACTCGGCATGGTCGAACTGATGCGGACGCCCGATCAGGTCACAGGCTATCTACGCATAGCATGCAAGAAGTCTCACCAAAAACTCTGGATGATTGTTTGTCCGCAGTATCTCTGTGAGAGTGGAATCTTGAATCGTGTGGCACGTACTCCTCTGCTCTACACGGACTGCCTACAAGCAGTGTACCAATTGTTCCAGTTTGCTATTTTTACACCGTGAGGCCTTCGAGAACGTCGACGAAGACATAGGACGGTAGACGACGAAGACGACGAGTTCAAATGTGATTGCGGCTTCGAATGCGAAGACCGTGTTCATGTAGTCGCGGAATGTCCGTTGTACAAGAAGGAGAGGGAAGTGTACGTGACTGAGCTGGGAAAAATAGATGGAACGTACAGGGAGATGTTTGAGGCATGGAATAGAGAGGAAAGGACGGTAGCTGTACTGGGGCATAGGAGGTGGGTTGAAAAGGCGGGAAGGGATATCGTTGGGATAGACAGACTAGGGATGACATTGTTGAGCCACCTTTGGCAAAGTAGAAAGGAACGATTGGCCATCGGTGATCGGTCCTGTGGGAACAATGCTCCGTCCTCTCGAGGACGCATGGTCAATGGTCTAACCGCTAAGGCATGCAAAACAAAAGAGTAAGTACTGCTGAAGGTCTGCTGTAGAGCAGGTGAAGTACATTTACATGGTAAAGTCTATTACTGCAGGAGCAATGTGTCTTCAACCACTGCAACCTGTACCTTGGACGCCTTTGCATCGCTGACCAGAACACCAGCGTGCTGAATATCTCCAAACTCAGGTGCTGACGCTTCTGTAGCACGGATCGACGATTCCCGGCGGGGACGTCCTGCTGGAGTAGCCGCCGCCGGGTTGAGTTGCGCATGATGATGATGCGTGCTGCTCGATTGCGTACCGCCTTTTGGTAGCATATTGCCTGCTGGCTGCACAAAGGCATGGCAACACAGAGGGACAACGGCGAGAAGCAAGGCTTGGACAGCTCCTTGATAATTTTTTCGGGCCATGACGATGATGTGAGTGGTGGAGCTAGGACAGGCGCTGGCAGGCAACTAGCAGTGGTGACATCATCATGTGATCAGGCTATTCTCCTGGGGGGGGTCGGCTGGCCATGTCCATTTGGAGCTACTGTAGGGTACCCTCAGACACGGATCCAAGTTAGAGGGACCCTTGGCCTTTCCACAGAGCGAAACAAACCCACGTCCTTCCGTTGTTGTGACAGAGGGGAAGAGATGGACGAGGCTCACGAACCACCTGTTAAGGGTGCGAGCGATCAAGGAAAGGAATGCTCATCGTCTCAAGCTGGAAGTGATGGCGGTGATGTGATGGACAGCGACAGCTGCATCAACAGCAACGAAGAACCCGATGGCAACAGCAGCGGTAGCAGCAGCAGCGGGGCAATTATTCCAGATGTAGAAGGTGGATCTTCGGACTATATCCGTCTGCTAGACGAGGAGCTTGTAGAGCTGGAAAAGCTGATCAAGCTTCAAGCACGGAAAGTCGAAGCACTCGAGGAGCTGCGGCGTCAATGGGTTTCTGGCGAAAGGTATGCGCGCGTGTAAGCAATGGATGCTGTCCTCTTCTTTTCGTACCATGTTGTTCTTCCTGGTCGATGGGGTCGATGGTGGAGAGCATTCCCAGTGGTTGTTGTTGTTGTTGTTGTTGTTGTTGTTGTTGTTGTTGTTGTTGTTGTTGGCTTCACATTAAAAACCGTTCCGATCTCTCTCTACCCAGTACCTTCGTATGTCCGTACTGATCCAACACTCGACGCGGTCGATTCCCATGGTCGCAGGCTAACTTACTCTAAAAAGGTACACTCAAATAAAATGGCCCCGCGGGGTCCGCAAGCAATAGAAATCAACGACAGATATTCTGGATTCCTCCACTCCCTCTGCGCGCTATGCGAGGTAACAACTGAGACTAGGAGTTACCATCACGGGCCGGAGAGAATGAGGTACACCCCCTTGGTTCAATCTTGGTACTTGACAACGCAAGCAGAGACAAGGCCATCTGGCACAGAAAAAGAGAGAAAAAGAGAAAAAGAGAAGAAACTACAAGCAAACAGTAAAAAAAGACATCGTGACACATGACCTGGAACGAGAAAATGGAATAAACAGAGCGACAAAAAGGGGACCAGGCTGAAAATAACAAGAAATAAGAGACAGAAAAAGGCACACGGTGGAGAGACCACTAACGACAAGCAAACACGCAAACATGGCCACCAACCAGCGATACATTGTAATGGTACGTCATCACTCGTGGGAGATTGGTGCAATGGTGCAGCGTTGGGG